CTAGTCCTGGGAGCAGTTGGTGGCCCCGAATCTGGTTGTCAGACCGAACATACCCTGGCATCCAGTTGAATCTGCTGAGGAGACCGAATACGATCCCCCAGTTTCGTGGTTGCTGTCGACTGGCGCGGTTGGCCTGCGGCTGCTTTCTTGTAGTACCGAATATGTTGCGATGGCTGGCTCGCGAAGTGTACCAAGGAAAGCACAGAGGACGTCGATCAATGTAAGAGAGGGGCAGTGTAATGCTTTGTTTTTGTGACGATAAGACGTTCAGCAATCACTTTAGAATTTGTCTGGCCTTCGGGCCGCGCTTAGGCTCGGCTGCGTTGCCTCATTTGGAATACATGTGTCCAGCTTCACTTACTGCCTTCTTCCACTCGGGTGGAAGTTTTGTGACGCTACAGTACAAAATACATTGTGATGGCTGGTGCAGGGGGCGTACCGAAAGAATGTCGGGGGCATTGTTGAAAAGAAGAGCGGGACAGTGTAATATCTCGTTTATGTGATTACCTGTTGTCTGGCGATTACGTTGAGATTCTCCTGGCCTTTGTTCCTCCTAAAACTCATGTACTCATGCATGCATGCATGTCTGTAATGCTTTGCTTATGTGACTACCCTTGAATTCGGGCCATGCCCAGGTCAATTTGTTCTGTTCTCCTTGGAATGCATACATCCAGCTTCACTTACTGCCTTCTCCCATCCGCTGGAAAGTCTCGATACGCTACAGTAGGTTTAATTTTTGTAAGTAACCAATCAACTGTTGCATATCCGCAAAGCAAAGTCATGTTAATCGACGTTCTGTCCTTAATGAATTTTAACAAACCATTTCACAGAAGCTAATTTTTTCGCTTTGTTTCACAATTTCGCACACCTTCAACGTCTTCTAAAGACAAAATGTTTAATTTATTTAATTGGTTTCCTCTCCTTCACCTTCACTTTTCATTGGTTGTAAGTCTCTGCCCTGTCAATCGTTTTGTGTGTTTTAACTCGTCGTCTGCTGGTGTTATGCTGCCAACTCCCATTGGAAAGGCCAGTTCGCATACGACCATTAATCTTGCCTTCGTTGAACCCTCAACATCAAGTGGATCCGATGCATGTTTGTCGTAATCTTAAGTTATGCTTTTACCAACACAGATACGTCATCACTTACGGGCAACATAGATGGTTTTGCAAGGTCATCCGATGGTCCACTACAAAGTCTACTTAGAAGACGAGGATTCGGTTGGATGCTAGAGGTTGAGACTGAGGATTCTGACTTTGATAAACCTATTCTGTAAGGATTTATAATTGCTGAGCAGGAGTGGGCTGTCTGACACTGGTTTGTCTCTGCATGTGTTCTTTCAGGGAGGAACTAGACGTCGATCTTAAGACAATTGGTAAGAAAATGAAAGCAGTTATTCTGCCTTGTGTTCGGTCTGGGCTGGATCCGGCGTCAGTTCGCGAGAACCCTGATTTCTGGGGACCTCTAACAGTGGTTATGCTCTTCTCTCTTGTTTCGTTGGTTGGGCAATTGAGGGTCGTCGCTTGGATTCTTACTATTTGGCTAGCTGGCTCCTTTATCATCTATTTTATCGTGCGGTCATTGGGAGGTGAAGTGGCGTATGCTCAATGTCTCGGAGTAATCGGCTATTGCCTTCTTCCACTTCTCTTAATGTGTGCTCTCGGAACTTTGTGCAACTTGGGAGGCTTCCAAAGGTCTGCAATTCTCGTTACTGTACGTTTGATCTTCTGTTGTTCTTGCCTTGATAGTGTTGCACCGTTTTCTTGCAGTTGAGCTCCAGAGGCCTTGTTTCTCACTTATGATTTCGTCAACATGCAAAGAATAATGCGTGCAACTTTTAGTAATGAACCAAGGTGGTAGGCTTCCCTCTTACTTTGCCTTGCTTCAGAGTTAGTAAGGTCGGGACATTACCTGGCTCTTTTGTGGTATCACTTGATTGGTTGGGATAGGCTTAATACAATAACTCCGTTGAGCAGTTAGATAAATTTGAATCTTGCTTTATTAGCTACCTTTGCCATTGTAAATCATGTATCTTCTATTTTTGTAGTTTATTGGAACTCTATGGTCTGCTTACAGTGCGGGCAAATTACTCTCCATGGAGAACCTCCAGCAGCGCTGTAGCCTAGTTGTTTACCCTATCGGTTTACTTTATATCTACTTTTTGTCTCTTTACACTGGTGTCTAGTATTTCCGCTCTCAACGCTCTAATCACATCGAAATGCTTCGGCCTTCGACAACTCAAGTCCTGCGCTTAGTTGGTGGATCCCAAATGTCTTTCTTTTTAGCACGAGCATTGTTGATTTTGACTTCCGATGTTCCCATTTAAAATAAGATGTTTAATACTTTTCTTTTTTCTCAGTACATGTTTGCATGTTGACATCATTTCGACGAGTATGGTTTAGCCGTTGACGCTGTCATCACTGATTATTCTAAAAAACACGAAATCGAGTGTTTTCGCTTCCTATGTGAGCGATTTTAGTGACTACCCAAAGGCAGCAAAGTTATTGGTGGCATTAAACGACGAAGTT